TGACTGGCCCCGCTCCGCAAAGGCAGAGATTCACCAGTAACAGCAAAACGGACGCTTGCGGCTCATGTCCAGTGGGTCTCCGACCGTGAACGCACTGTGAGTAGCGCGATGTGCGAACCAAAATCAAGCCCTGCCAAAAAAGATCAAGCAAATCATGTTGATGCGAGAGCTTCTCGCTTGTCTCTTGCTTGCACACCTCCTGGCCAGAGCAGGCTCCAGTGCCTCGCAGGTGAAATGGACCATCGGTTGACCAACAGACCTTATTGTCGTCTCGCGAGCCTGGCTCATCTGATCCGTCCGTGCAATCGCAGTAATTGTCGTCGATGGAAGAAGGGGGCATCTGCGTTGCGCAACGCTTCACTCTCTCTCTCTCTCTCTCTCTCTCTCTCTCTCTCTCTCTCTTGGTCGTCTTTGCAGCTTGTGCATGGCGCATCGGAGTCCCGGGCCTCTTCCCTGCAAAGAGCTTGCGCGACACCTCCGACGGCCCGTGTTGTGAGTGCCCAAACAGAGAGCTGTGCCTTGGACCAGTGCAATTGGCGTGCCTGTAGCGAAGCGCAAAGCGTCGAAGCGCAAAGCGTGCGTCGCGCGTTTCCCGACAAGATCGAAGGTTTGGAGCCAGACCCGCCAAGGCGAGCAGGGCACATCTGAAGCCCATCGGCATCTCACGAGGCCTTGCAGAATGACACGAGAAGTCAACGAACTCAGGCTTGTTTTGGCGAGCGGCTCGCAACAAAACCAGATGCGCCAGCCTCCTGTGACACACCTACCCGACACATGGCACTTGAGCCGCTTGCGACGCGAGCCAGCTTGAAGCTGCCTAAGTTGAACAAAGGAGCACGCGCGGGTGCGAAACCAATGAACCCGCAAAAGGTCCGTTTTGGCATTGCCCAGGCCTTAGGTTCCTTCATTTGTTTGTTTCTTCGAGTTCCGTGGTCTGAGCTACGCTGGGCTTTGCGGATGCTGCGTGGCTGGCAAACGGGGCGTTCGATCCGAATATAAGGGTGTTTTGATGTGTTTTGCTTTGGGGTTCTATGAGGATTGGAGGAAGAGGTTTTGTTTGCATCGACAACATCTGCGCGGCTTTGCCTAGCACATGATGTACAAATTGTGAGGCATCAAAAACGAGCAAAACTCTGAAAAGCAAGACAAAACTTATTAAGCATCGCACAATAGCCTGGAACACAATTTGCGTGCGAAACACAGCAGAAAAACACAAAAAGCCTGCATGAAACAATTGCAACCCAAAGGACAAGTCGTTGCAGCTTGTTGCGTTGTGGAATTGCGACGTACCCAAACACTGCCTACTGTATACATCCGAATAGGTCAGTGGGGACCTCTTGAGGTGCACATCCAACCTCATGTGGAAGGGGGGATGATAACATCCCTTCAGCATGACACTTCGCTTTGCAGCCGGAGCCGAGATGCACAAGATGTCCCTCCCTGCTAGTGAGCACGGATCATGACGCTTTAGCGCTGGCTTTTCTTTGTTCTGGCTTCGCTGCCCTGCCCGCGAAAGCGCTTGTCCGCGCCTTTGCTGGACTCGGCTGGACTCCTACCAAGAAGTCGCCTGACCAAGTTTACTTTACAGGCAAGAACACGTCCCTTTTGTGTTTTGCGCGCGGCCGCTTTTGCTTCTTTGTTTGCTTCACCGCTTGGTTGGCCCCAAAGGCGCTTGCAAGCGATATGTCTGAAGTTTACGAGTTTGTGCGGATGATCGCGTTGCTGCCGCGCCGCCTTTGTTTGAACTTTGCCTTGCAGGAGGAGCTTGGCGCGTTGCGAGATCAGTGCGACCTTGTTGTACAGCCGCATGATGTCCTCTCGAAGGCTTGTTCCACCTGTTGAGACCATGCATTGGACATTCATGCGCTTGCCTATCTCCTTCACCACGAAAGATGTCTGCAGGGCCAACTCATGAGTTGGCACCAAGATCAAACCCTGAATCGCATTCTTACTGGTGTTGCACCGCTCCAGGATGGGAATCACAAACGCCCCTGTTTTGCCAGTACCATTCGGTGCTCTGGCCAGGATGGACTTGCCCTCCAAAGCAACAGGCAAGCAACAGACTTGCCCTCCTGCTGGATCGGGGAAGGCATTTAATTTTGTAGCCCTCGCCAATGCCCATCAGTTGAGGCTTCCTTAGCCCCATGCATCAGCCCCATGCATGCCCCCCGCCAGGTCCACAACCATCGCTCCAAAAACCACGCCGAGGCACAAGTAATCCTCAAAGGCATTCTCTTGTGTTCTCACGGCGTCCGCTGTCTTGAATCGCTGGTCTGGCGGGCTGGGGATCTTCGCCTTCCAATCCTCAGTTTGTGTTCGGACAGGGCGCCTTTCATGTCTCACTTTTGTGGCATATGTGGCATGGGACGCGACCGACTAGACCAAGGAGCAGCGGCGTCCACCTTCAGTGGCAGGCTGTGCCGGGACACCTGGCGAGGATCTCACGGAACGGAGCGATCAACGATCTCAATTGTTGCTCGAGAAGCTAAAGCAAGCAAGCAAGCAAAAACACTAGACGACGAGTGGCCCGGAAGCATAGAGGCAAGTTGATGCAGGTGAGGTAACTCTCGCAAAGTTAGCATGAGGAGTTGGCAGGCAAAGCAATTCTCAAAAAGTTGGCATGAGAAGCTGGCAGGTTAAGTAACTCTCGAATAGTTGGCTGGCAAAGTTGGCGGGTGAAGTAATTCTCGCAAAGTTGACATGAGAAGTTGGCAGGCGAAGTAACTCAAGAGAAAAGTTGGCATGAGAAGTTGGCAGGTGAAATAACTCTCAAAGAGTTGGCATGAGAAGTTGGCAGGTGAAGTAACTCTCGAAAAGTTGGCGTGAGAAGCTGGCAGGTGAAGTAATTCTCGAAAAGTTGGCACGAGAAGATGGCGCGTGAAGTAACTCTCGAAAAGTTGGCGTGAGAAGCCGGCAGGTGAAGTAACTTTCGAAAAGTTAGCATGAGAAGTTGGCAGGCGAAGTAATTCTCGAAAAGTTGGCGCGAGAAGTTGGCAGGCGAAGTAACTCTCGAAAAGTTGGCAGGCGATGTTGGCAGGTGAAGTACCTCTCGAAAAGTTGGCATGAGAAGCTGGCAGGTGAAGTAATTTTTCGAAAAGTTGCCACGAGAGGTTGGCAGATAAAGTATTTCTCGAAAAGTTGGCATGAGAAGTTGGCAGGTGAAGTAATTTTTCGAAAAGTTGCCACGAGAGGTTGGCAGATAAAGTATTTCTCGAAAAGTTGGCATGAGAAGTTGGCAAAGTAATTCTCGAAAAGTTGGCAGGTGAAGTTGCCACGAGAGGTTGGCAGGTAAAGTATTTCTCGAAAAGTTGGCATGAGAAGTTGGCAGGTAAAGTAATTCTCGAAAAGTTGGCATGAGAAGCTCGCAGGTGTAGTAACTCTCGAAAAGTTGGCATGATAAGCTCGCAGGTGAAGTAACTCCTCGAAAAGTTGGCACGAGAAGTTGGCAGGTGAAGTAACTCTCGAAAAGGTGGCATGAGAAGCTGGCAGGTGAAGTAATTCTCGAAGTTTCGGCATGAGAAACTGGCAGGTGAAGTAATTAACCCTCAAAAAGCTGGAGCGGCGGAGGCGCTCCGCGTGCTACATTTGCAATTTACAGTTGCGATTTTCCAGCCATTTGTATCTAAAAGTTGCGATTTTCCAGCCGGAGCTGCGGGAGCACGCTCCGCGTACTACGTCTGTACTTAAAACGTGCGATTTTCCAGCCGGAGCTGCAGCAGCCTCCGCGTACTACGTCTGTACTTAGAAGTTGCGATTTTCCAGCCGGAGCTGCAGGAGCACGCTCCGCGTACTACGTTTGTACTTAAGAGCTGCGATTTTCAAGCCGGAGCTGCCGCGGACCAGGGGGGAATCGAACCCGGGACCGCGGGATTGCGAAAGCAGGCGCGCACACCACGAGACAACTTCCAAAAGCCGTTTCGCGAGCAAGAAAATCGCACGGCGCCACAGCGAGAGCGCTTCGACACGCACGATCTCCGCAGAGGGTTCATCGGGCTCAAGACAAATTCGCACGGCGCCACAGCGAGAGCGCTTCGACACGCAGAATCTCCGCAGAGGGTTCGCCAAGGTCAAGACAAATTCGCACGGCGCCACAGCGAGAGCGCTTCGACACGCACGATCTCCGCAGAGGGTTCGCCAAGGTCAAGACAAATTCGCACGGCGCCACAGCGAGAGCGCTTCGACACGCAGGATCTCCGCAGAGGGTTCGCCAAGGTCAAGACAAATTCGCACGGCGCCACAGCGAGAGCGCTTCGACACGCACGATCTCCGCAGAGGGTTCGCCAAGGTCAAGACAAATTCGCACGGCGCCACAGCGAGAGCGCTTCGACACGCAGATCTCCGCAGAGGGTTCGCCGCGCTCAAGACAAATTCGCACGGCGCCACAGCGAGAGCGCTCGACACGCACGATCTCCGCAGAGGGTTCGCCGCGCTCAAGACAAATTCGCACGGCGCCACAGCGAGAGTAGTAGGTTCTCTCAAACCGGCTGGGAAAACCACTTTCCAGGTAATAGGCTAGTTCAGGCGCTGCAACCAAAGCTCCTGTTACAAAGTGTTGGCCAGCAGTTGCCAAGCGTTTTTTCGCAGATCAATGTGATGGGCAAGGCCCAGAGCACGTGTTTTTGTTCAATACTAAATGAACTTTGCTTCATCAGGCCTCTACTTGCTGAAGTTGGCAACCAGGTTTGCGCGTTGTGCTCAAAACTGCTGCCACTTTGATTGATCGCGCGTTGCCTGCCTACATTCTAGCTTTCAAAAACCGCGTTTGCGCCCAATTTTCGCGGCCTTTTGTTTTTTTCGGCATCCTCACAGCCGTAGCGCGCAGCTCTTGGCCAAAAGCAGGGCTTGAACGTCGTGTCATCAGTTATGTTTTCGGCATCCTTTCAGCCGCAGCTTCCTCAGATTGACATCTCGGCCTCCTTTCAGCCGCAGCTCCCTCGGCGTACTTGCAGCCGCAAATAGCCGCTTGCCATGATCTGTTCTTCTCTTTCATTTCCTCATTCTTAGCGCCACCCCGCTTCGAACTCATCAGCGCTTCTCACTGACAAGGCAAACGCATAGACACTCATAGCCCGGTAAAGCCCGATGGCACTCACCAGAAACGTGTCCAGGCCAGAGTCAGGCGGAGGCGCCAGCATTGCCCGCACCCTCTGGAGCACCTTGACTGAGCAGTTGAGCTCCTGGTGGAAGCGCAGCGCCCCAGTCTGCGACTTCTGAGACGCATCCCAAGCTGTCGTCAGCATGGACGTCTCCACCACCAAGTCAAGGTCACCACCATGGCGCCCAGCCAAAAGCCTGCAAGGGACCACACTGGCAGCTGCAGAGCTCTCCACCATGACACGGATGGACGTTAGCATGTCAGCCACACAGAAGATCGTCTGGGACCACTCCGCATCATGGCTTGTGGCACGGCAAATCTTTACGGCGCACTCTCTCACCGTCTCCAGCTCTGCTGTCACCCAAGAAGCCAGAACGGGCTTTGTCAGGTGCTCCTCCAGCGTGCGCACCACATAGTCCAAGAAACCAACGCTCAGCTCCATGACCGCTGATAAGGCAGCGAGAGGCGCTTACAAGCCACGACTGGCACGACTGGATGTCACGGCAAGCAGAACCTTCAGCCTCCCGGTTTCGCAGCAAGTTGCAAAGCAATGATCCACGACAGGCATGAAGGAATTAATTTAATATGTTGTCGGGTTTCAGCTTAAGGCTTTGAAAGTAAAACCCTGGCTTCCGGGCATCCGCGCAGCTCTTGGCCAAAAACAGGGCTTGAACGTCGAGTCACATCATCAGTTATGTTTTCGGCATCCTTTCAGCCGCAACTTCCTCAGATTCACATCTCGGATCATCTCGGCCTCCTTTCAGCCGCAGCTCCCTCGGCGTACTTGCAGCCGCAAATAGCCGCTTGCCATGATCTTTTCTTCTCTTTCATTTCGTCATTCTTAGCGCCACCCCGCTTCGAACTCATCAGGGCTTCTCATTGACAAGGCAAACGCATAGACACTCATAGCCCGGTAAAGCCCGATGGCACTCACCAGAAACGTGTCCAGGCCAGAGTCAGGCGGAGGCGCCAGCACCTTGACTGAGTGGAAGCGCACCGCCCCAGTCTGCAACCCCTGAGACGCATCCCAGGGAATCCCAAGCTGTCGTCAGCATGGACGTCTCCACCACCAAGTCAAGGTCGCCGCCATTGCGCCCAGCCACAAGCGCGCAGGCCCGCAGGGCACCACACTGGCAGCTCCAAAGCTCTCCACTCTCCACCATGACACGGATGACACGATCTTCTGGGCCCACTCCGCGTCATTGCTTGCGGCACGGCAAATCTTTATGGCGCACTTTCACAAGCTCTGCTGCCACCCAAGAAACCAGAACGGGCTTTGTCCAGCGCGCGCGCCACATAGTCCAAGAAACCAGCGCTCAGCCGCTCAGCCCCATGACCGCTATAAGGCGGCCAGGGGCTCAGCTCAGGGACCGCCCAGGGCTTACAAGCCATGACTCGATTTCACGGCAAGCAGAACCTTCAGATAACGCGGCAAGTTGCAAAGCAATGATCCACGACAGGCATGAAGGCACTAATATTTTGTAGGGTTTCAGCTTAAGGCTTTGGAAGTAAAACCCTGGCTTCCGGGCATCCTTGCAGCCGGACAACTGTTGCTAGGACGCCCAGCCAGACAGCAGGGCTTTGTCGGCCTACTTGCAGCCGCACAACCCACTGCCAGAGCTTTTGTCGGCATACTTGCAGCCGCGCAACCGCCAGAGCTTTTGTCGGCATACGTGCAGCCGCGAAACTTGTTGCCGGGCTGGACAAAACTGCAGGAATCCGCTTGCCTAATTACTTGCAGCCATGCAACCAGTTGCTAGAACTTCAGTCGGCATACTTGCAGCCGCAGCCGGCGTACTTGCAGCCGCACAACCAGCTGCCAGAAGCCGCGCAATTAGAGCAATACAAACTGCATACGCTTTTTTGTTGCTCTTTGTCTTTGCCGATGGTAAACACTTGGTTCGTTTTCTGCACATCCCCCGTTAGGGCAGTCTGCGAAACAAAATGCAACAGCATACCTGAGAAGTTGGTGTCACACACGTTGCAATTTTGTGAACTAGACTCGACTCGACTGTCCTGGCCCCCAAACCCCTGAAGCCGCCGTTTACGCGTCAGTCAGCAAAATTCGAAAAAGCCTACCGACATCTGCGGCAAACACTTCTGGCATCAGTTCTCCTTGCCCTCGTTCTCCTGCTTCTGCTGCGTGTTCTCGACGCTGGGCATTGGCGCTGGTGCTGCTTGATCGTGGGCCCCTGGCTCTTTCTGCTCTTGGCTTTCAGCCAGGATTGTAGGCGCAGCTTCCTTCTGCTCAGCTTCTTCTGGCGGCGCCTGCGGGCTGAGGAAGGAAAGCAAAGCAGAAGAGGCAAGGGCAGGCTTGGAGTGCTCAGTCAGCATGTTGTTTAAGAGCGTCAGCTCCGAAAAGGCATGCGTGTCTTTGGCTGTGACCCCACGGACCACAAACCCAGCAAGGTCGGCGTTGTCCATGACCTTCTCTGCAAAGATCCAGCCACAGGGAAGGTAGAGGAGCTCTTGTGGGCCGTGCGTGACGGCTTGCAAAGCCCCAACGCGGCCCAGCTCTGCCGCTTCCTTTGGCGTCATATCTAGGAATCGCTTCCACAAAGATGAAGGCTCGCACCGTCCAAAGACTTGCACCAACTTGGACAGTGAAGCGATCACCAATGTCCGCGTGCCTGCAGTCAGCAGCCGGATGGAAGCCAGCCAGTCGGTTTCCGCCCCTGCAGCAACAGAGCCAGCCTGAATGCCAAGATGGCTGGGCAGGCCTGCAGTTGGGCTTGGAGTCGACCCAGGCACTGCTCCCAAAATCAACTCAGCAGGCAGAACGCTTTCAAAAGCGCTCCAAGCATCCAGCGCCTCCTGTGACAACTTGGCAGCAGCGCGGGCCTTGGTCCTTTGTTCAGGCGGCTTGCTCATGTTGCTCCGGGCCATGGCTTTGATCTTCTCAGCAAAGGCTGTCTTGAAGGCCGTGGACTGGGCTGCCATGGGCTCCTGCGCAAAACTCTCGAGAAATCATAACTGACGCAATCCGCTGTTTGCCTGGCCAATAAGTGGGGATTAGGGGAAAAATGTTTTGCAAGACACTGCAACGCAATTGCAACTCGGGCGCCTTTGCTAAGCAAGCTGCGTGCTCTCCAAGGTTGACCAAAATGGGCATGCACATTGCTGGCAACTTCTCTGCTCCGCTCTTCAACGAAGTCAAGCTCACCGCGCTCACCTCCTGGGCGCATGTGATGCCCTGCTCAAACACGGCCTGCTGGTTCCCTCCAACTTTCTCCTTCTGGGCGCCTTTTCCTCCACCTTTGCTGGCACGCTTTGCTGCGCGCTGCTCACAGCTAGCCACCGCCTTCTTGAGCTCCTTCAACCCAGCATTCACAGAATTGCTGAGTTCACCAAGCGGCTTCCGGCTCACTGCGCGTGTCTTGGCGAGCTCTTTCAGCTCAGCTGCTGTCTGGCACTTCCAGAAAGCGTCCACGCTGTCCTTGTGGGAAGAAAGGCATGTCAAAGATGCGTAGCTGGCGCAAGGGGGAGCGCTTTGGAGTTGCGCCTGCCAAGCTGTGGACGGTTCTGTCGCAGATGCTTTAGCTGGGGAAGTTGCTGCTGGCGGCGCGCTGTTCGCCTTGGGCTCCTCATACTTCTGGATGAGGGACGTCAAGCCTGAACCTTGGGGGGAAAGAACAGCCTCAAGAAACTCCACTCGCTTCGTCAGGGTGCTGTACTCCACCTTGACTTCGTGCAAACAGGGCTTTGATTGCACCTCTTGGAGGTATTGCTGGCATTCGTCCAGGCGAGCTTGAAGCTGAAGCTCCATGGTGCACAAGGCGGTGCCCTCAGTCCGAACACGGCTGGCAATGGCAGTGTCGCGATCAAACCACACTTTGGCTTGACCTCTGCCACCTTTGCCTTTCTGGCCGCCCTTGCTCCCAGTCTTGGATCCATTCGGGGCCTCGGGCTCAGACTCCGAAGCAGACCCTTGCTCCCCTTCCGCTGCCTTAGCCGCTTCTGCTGCAGCCTCCTGAAAAACAACATCATTCTGCAAGCCGGCAACAAGCAATGACACAGCAAGAGAGACACTGCTTCAAGACAGGGACACAGACACACGCGCTGCGCACACAGGGCACAATCAGTGACCCAGTGAAGCCGATCCAAGAAAATTACTATTCACGGGACATGGCTTCATGCGAAACGAGAGCTGCGAATTGCGAGCGTTAAGCGTTCTTCTCCTCCTCTTTTACTAGCTCGTCCAAGTTCACCTCCATGGCCTGGCCGATGAAAGCGTTGCCTGCAGCGCTCTGCCCAGCTGCGCGGATCATGCCGCCGGCAAGGTCCTTAGCATCCTGCTCGTCGTTGAACGAACCGAACTTCTCGTTGTTCTGGAACAACGCTTTCTTCTTGGCTGCAAGTTGAGATTCTGTGATCCCCTTTTCCTCTTTCTCCTTCAAAACTGCCCCTTTCGACTTCTCAAAGAAGTTGGCCAGGATGACCTTGTCATGAACTGGCACTGCTATTCGCAGGCATTTGTTCTTCCCCTTCCAGTCATGGACGGGATCGTTGGTCTCACCGTCTGCTTCCACAGCCGCCTGCCAGGTAGACCATTGAGAGACGGCTTGCGCTCGAGTCAAGCGGCCGTTCATCTCCGTCAACACCTCCGTGGCGTAGCGCAAGTACATGTCCTCTGGCATCATTTCGCACTCCGTTTGAAAGGTGATTCGCGAACCTGCTACCATCGTCTCCAAGGACTGGAAAAGCGTTGAGGAGTTCACCTGCACGAAGCATGGGATTTCAATCTTCTTTGAAAGTACAGGAAGCAGTTGAAGCATTAGCAGACCCAAATCGCAAAATAAAACCTTGCCTTGAACAACTACCAACGCACAAAGGCGTCCAAGCTGAGTTATTCATGAGCACGCCCGGCCTTTTTCTTGGAGCCCTCCCCGTCATCTCCTGTCACGTCCCTGTAGGCTTTGAGCAGGCGCTGAACTTTGTTTTCATCCTGTCTCACGGTTTTGAACCACTCTGTCTTCTGCTGGTTCTTCGCCAGTCTTCCTAACTGGTCCAACTTGTACTTATCTTTGTGGCAGAAGGCTTGGTTGAAGGACATGCCTTCCTGGGAAAAAAAAAGCCCGCACCCTCGGCAACGCCGAGAGTGTGTCTTGCTTTGCTTTTTCACTCCCTGGGCGGACTTGTCGGACTTCTTCCCGCTGCTTTGGCTGCCCTTCTCCTGGTTCTCCGGGCCTGCACCTCGCTTTCGCTTGCTGCCTTTGTTCTGCCCTGCCGCTGCCTCGCCCCCTTCCTCTGCCTCTTTCATTGCCTCGTCGTCGCTGGCGTGAACGCCTGCCTCTGTGAACAGGTCCTCTGGCATCATGTCCACCGAGAGGTCCATTGCCATTATGGCTGCAAAACAAGAAGCTGGCCCCCTCCGGGGAAAAAGCTGCAAGCAAGATGCGGGCGGCAACGCGCAGTGGGATTTCAAGCTTCTAACAAAAACACCTGTCACCTGCCACTGCGTCTCTGTCATTTGAAGACTGTCGCTCTCAGCATGCTCTGGCGCCTCAGCATACTTTCAGCTGGACAAAGGAGGTAGAAAAGCGCTGGAGGACATGAAGTTGCAACTGCTGTCAATGGCAGCTGCTTTTCCCAGACGTGGCTGCCTGGAGCCTTCAACTTGGCCGTGTTCTGCATCCTTTCAGCTGAAGAAGACAAGACAAAACACGCAACATGAAAACAGCATCCTTTCAGCTGCAGGAGTGAAAGCTTGCAAAATGAAAGCAACTCGGAGGACACAATGCGGCCGGGCAGCCTGCAGCTTAGAACTGTTTGCTTTCGGCCATCACTTCTTTTCAACCACACGCTCATTGCGCGGCTCTCCGCCCGCCAGCTTGGATCTGGCTATGGGCTGAACTGCTTCACGGAGACGACGCCGTTCTCAATCTTGATGTTCATCAAGCCTCCGTCATCCAAGGAGATCGAAGAAAAATGATCGAACTCTTTCACCACCACTTGTGCTGTCTGCGGCCCTTCATTGCTCGCAATTACCCGATGGCCACAGACAGCGCCCACGTCTTTGGAAGGAGTAGCAGTTGAATGCGATGATGCGCTGGTAGCAATGCTGGCACTGGCAGCACTGGCTTCAGCTATGTCTTCAAACTTCTTCGGCACCCTTGCACTTGATGGTGGCAAAGGCTTTCCTTTCTTCTCGCCCGCATTCACGAGGAACCCCTTCTTCAGGCCAGTGAAGCCAGGCATGGCTTTCAGCGGCAATCTGAGAGGCGAGCACAGTTGGAAAACAGGATGGCCCAAAAGCTTCAAATGGCGACCAGCAAAGGTCCAAGTGATTAGCGCAAAGCAAAGTCTTCATGTGGTATCATGCTGCACGCTTGGTTGCTGCCAAACACGCCTGGCCGCACGGACCATTGCTTGTTGTAGCCCAGAGCTGACCACTGCTTGTTGCAGCCCAGACAACACTGTGAAAACAAACACCACAACGCCATTGAAACTTTGAGACAACACTTTGAGACAGATCTCTTTGGTATTGTTTTCTGTGGGCAGCAAGCTTCTAGCAACTGTCTAAATCTAAGAACAAAACTTGGCAGTCAGTGCTGCCACGGATGTCAACCACTTGTACTCCTTGGCAGTCGTGGATGATCTGCAGCTCCACGGCATGCTCCGCAAAGGCGCTTGGCCGAGCACCAACAGCAGCATGGTTGCCGCTGGCGCTCGCATGCGTGGCTTGGGCCGGGGCCTCCTCATCGTTCTGCTTGCCAGGATTCTCTTTGCTAGGGTCCATGGAGTCCAAAGTCTTGCGCTCGGCAAGGAAGGCAGCAGTTTTTGGGAAAAGCCCGCGCGTCTGTTCATCTGTCATGTGCCTGCGGCGCCGCGCCACACGCGACTCAAACTCAATCGCTTCTCCTTGGCTGCCTTGGCTTTCGTCTTGAAGTGACTGGCTTGTCTTCGCACAAATCTGGGAACTTTCGCTGGCAGCACTGTCCGTGCCGCCAGGCTTCCTCTGAAAGGAGAGGCTGCGCTTCATGGCTAGCGTGGGAAGCAAAGAGCGAAACGCGCACGAAAGCACTGTGGCAAGCGCTAGTTGCAAGTTGTCAGGGCAACTTCTATGAGCACACATGCAAATGCGAAATAAGACACGCCAAGCACTACGACCAGAGATTTCGGTTCTGATATCTGGCAACTGGCACGGCGTCCTTGCAGCCGGAAACAGTAGCAGTAGCGGCATCCTTGCAGCCGGAAATAGCCGGAAGGCAGGGAAGGGATTGTCTAGCGGCAGCAAATGGGCGAGTAGAACCAGAAACGCTCAAGTGGGCAAATATCTGGCGGCGTCCTTACAGCCGGAAACAGTTGCGGCATCCTCGCAGCCGGAAACAATAGGTCACCAGGTGACATACCTAGCTGCGCAAAAGGCCCCTCACATGGCCACGGAACGTGAGTGGAACACTTAATACTTAATATCTTCTCGCAAGATAAACCGACCGGCATCCTTGCAGCCGCACTGAACCTGCTGGAGCTACAGCGAGTTGATGATTTTTGGTCAGCTTCTGCTTTTTTCACAATCTGGCGGATTCAGGACTGCCACTTCGTGGACGCAAGTGCGTAAAATATTGACTTGCCAACGCAAGCCGCGTTCATGCCGTTGCCTGACATGGATTGCAACTTGCGTAGTGGCACATCGGCTCTGGCGAGCACCGCTTGCAGGTTGCAGGACTCCAGGGCTGGGTGCTCTGGAGGCAGAAGTATCGGCAACGCTTGCATTGCCAAGCACTCCCAAGGGTGAAGCAAGCGACCCCTATTTTCGTTCTGGCAGTCCAGGTAAAACTTAGACCCTCTCAAAATGGCCGGCATGGTCAGCGGGGGCAACTGCACGCGGGGCTGGAAGGACTCGGTCTGGCTTAAGTTGACAAGCCAGCAGTGCGACTCTGGAAGGCCCTTCTCGCGCACGGCTCTTTGCGCTTCCTCGCGCATGTGGGCCCAGACCCTTCTTTCAGAGGAGGTCATGAGCGCTGGCCAGTGCCAAGGAAAAAGTCCTCCTCGTCTCGTGGTTCGCATTGGCGGCAGCCCTCGCTTGATGGCAAGGTCTTTGTTCACGCCTGAAAGAAAATATGCGCGTCCGCCACCTGGCTTGCAAAGAAGTACTGCTGCAAGGCGTCATAGTTGAAATCAAGCTTTCGGGTGAAGGACGCCAATCGCCGGCATAAGGTGTAGCGCCGATCGCGGCTGATAGGCAGGCCATGCGCACTTGGCGACCAAACCACACTTTCCACGCTGTAGCATTGCTCTTCTGCATTAAGAACCAAGTCGAAGACAAGCGGGGTGAAGTCCGGCACATTTTCGTGCAAGATCATGTCAGGTTGCGCTCGCTTCAGAGAGTGTAGCCAAATAAAGACGGGAACTGACACCGGGTGCAGCCATGACAGACCTGTGCCATAAGCGCCCTTACAAAATGGCACGCAAGGGCTTCCAGCGATTTCCAGCCACACTGCATTGGCTCTCTCACGTGTTCCAGGAAAGCGCCTGCACTGCTTTTGGCAGCCACGGCAACACATCGCATCTGACAACTCTGCACTATCCAAGACGCTGGCAGCTTTGCGGCACCAGTTCCTACAGGCTTTGGCTAGCTCGGCCTTGTAAGTGGTCGATTGCTGCTTTGCCTGCACTTGCCTTCGCAAAGACTGCAGATCTTTAGCCAACGACGTCACAAGCTCTGGCGCTGCCACGTTGGAAACATCGCCGAAAAGGTGCTGGCTCTTGCATGGGAAGCCTTCCATGGCTTGCAAGACGCTCACGCAGGCCTTGTCGATCTCGCAGGAGCAATACACCTCAAGGCAAGTCCGGTCGGCAGGCCAATGACCACTAGTCTGAAGCTCCCTGCAAATCATGGCGGCGGCAATCTCCGCGGTGCCAATCCCGGCGAAGGAAGTGGTCACAAGCAGCTTCTGCCGGCTTTGCAAGTTTGCAGCGACTTCGCGGCGATGCTCGCCTGAGGTCATTCTCTGAAGGAACTCCTTCGGCCACATGCAGCAATCTCCCAGCGTGCGTGGCCCAGACGGCGTGGGCTCTTCCATGGGGCAAGGGCGCTTCATTGTGTTGCGACTGTTAAGAAAAATGTGTGTGTTTTGGAGCAGCTAGCAACGCATGGCGCTTGTGTGTCTGTGCTCACAACGTGGTGCTGAGGGCTGCAAAAATGGAAAGTGAGCTGAGTTGCATCATATATACGGCATGTCTCGAACCGGCTGAGTTGATGCAAAATACAAGCAAGTGAAGGCCTACAAGCTGAAAATGCCGAAAATGTTCACGATTCAAGCTCATGCGCATCAAAACGCTTCAAAAATGCTGCAAAAAGCATCAAACAACATCTCAACAAGGCTTGGGACAAGCATTTATCTGCCAAAAGCACTCGACAAGGCTAGAAATCTATGATTTTCAAGCAAAAATGCTCACAACTCCGGCTCGCACGCATCAAAACGCTTAAAGACGCTGCAAAACGCATCAAAAAACAGCTCAACAAGGCTCGAGACCAGCATTTATCGTATCAAACGCATTCAACAAGGCTAGAAAAGTAGATTGTCAGACAAAAATACTCACATCTCAAGCTCACACGCATCAAACCGTCAAAAACCTGCAAAAATATGTGTTTCGAATATCAAGAAGGCTTGAGACGAGCATTTATCGTGTCACGAGTGCCCCAAGCATTCAACAAGGCCAGAAATGTATGATTTTCTTGGAAAAGCCATCACTGCGTCAGAAATCAACATTACTCCTTTCACAGGGTTAGTGCTCTTCAGCAATGGAAGCAACATCAACAAGAAGAGAGCAATGGCAGGCCAACCAAGACAGGTCAAGGGTCCACAAGGGTCATTTAAACAAGTGCCCTTTTTTCAGTCTTCGCCGATGGCCCTGGCTTTCGCATTAGAGAAAAGGGGGCTTGTTAAAAGTTAAAACAACCTCTGTGGACTGTGGACCCTTGACTCGACCTTTCGAGCAACGGTCGAGCGGTCGAGCAACGTCGAGCAACAGTCGAGCAACAGTCGAGCAACAGTCGAGCAACAGTCGAGCAACAGTCGAGCAACAGTCGAGCAACAGTCGAGCAACAGTCGAGCAACAGTCGAGCAACAGTCGAGCAACAGTCGAGCAACAGTCGAGCAACAGTCGAGCAACAGTCGAGCAACAGTCGAGCAACAGTCGAGCAACAGTCGAGCAACAGTCGAGCAACAGTCGAGCAACAGTCGAGCAACAGTCGAGCAACAGTCGAGCAACAGTCGAGCAACAGTCGAGCAACAGTCGAGCAACAGTCGAGCAACAGTCGAGCAACAGTCGAGCAACAGTCGAGCAACAGTCGAGCAACAGTCGAGCAACAGTCGAGCAACAGTCGAGCAACAG